ATGGTTGACAGATGCTAATCTAGAGACCGTCTTCCAGGATGGACTTATTAAATGTATGGGGTATTAATCGTAACTATTTATTTTGGAGTTTGAGTTAATTGCTATTATTCAAATGCAGTTGTTATGAATTCACAAATTTAGAGTTTGTAATAATTCCACTTGGTAATATATTTAAGTCTATACTTATAATGGAAAAGAGGGGGCTTGTTCTGCAGTGTAAACAGGGATAAAACGAGAATGTTTGTCTATTTAGGAGAATGTTTTCAATGTACTTCTTATGGTAGAATCACACAGTGAGTAGAGCTCAGAACTGTTGAAGCTTTATGTGTTAATTAAAATTCTTCTTGCTTTACTTTCCTTTATTCATTAAATTCTAATAGGCTCAGTCTTTTCCTGGTCTAGTCCCATCCAGCCATCCCCAAATAAGAATGGGGATTCAAAACTATTTTCATACTCTGGATAATTCTTGGACATCACTATCTCTATGGAACTGGATTAGAAACTGGCGTTTGGACTTGAATTATGATTATCATGGTGCTATTTCTATTTATAGAAGGTAGCTGCTCTTCATTAACAACAAGCATTGTGGTCAGAATCATGATGAAGGATAGGAAACCGATATTGATATTTAGGAAACATTTGAGTACCCTGATCTCATCATGATACGTACCAAAGGTAACATACTATTTCTTTTTCAAACGTTTGATGACTTGAGCTTTCCAATATTTCTGAGAGGCATTTCTAGGGAGACTGGCCATACTTAAGCCTACTGAATAGGGGAAACAAGTATTTAAAAGATTAGCTGGAATGGTCGCCCTGGATAAAAAGGAATGACATTTATCATGCTCAAACATATCTAAAACTTTTTCTACCCACTGTCTTTCCTAACATAGATTAAGACGTGAAAATTTTCCAGGGGCCTTAAGTAGGAACCTCAGAGTCATGCTTGATTCCTCCAACTCTTTCCCTTCTACCCCTAACTTGGTTAATCAACTAAGGCCTATCAAACATACTAGGCATAGCTTCTTCCTCCCCAGTCCTGCTGCCACTGTTCTTAAGTAGGTCCACAGAGTCTCTTTCTTGAGCTACTGTCACAGCCAACCAGCTGACAGTCTGCACCAGTCTTTTTAATGGGTTCTGTTGTTTTTGCTGTTCTTTCAAGGGTCAGTGTTTTTCGAGTCCAGGTGTAATACCCCTTTACTCTCTCATTCTGTACTTTCCCCCTGGACAATCGATCTACGCCTGTGGATTCAGGTCCTTGATATGATGACAATCCTGCAATTTTTATCTCTAGCCTAGATCACTGTCTTAGGCTTCAAACCTGTATGTTCATCAGCCTAAGGGATATATATCTCTAATTGGAGGTCCCACAGGAACCTCTTCATCTGTCCTACCTCAAACCTACTCCTCATTTTGTGGTCCCTGTCATCAAATCTCACCTGGATTACTGTAATAGCCTCCTAAATAGTCTCCCTACTTTCAAACCTGTCCCTCTGCAATCCACGCTACACCCTATAACTGGAGTGATTTTTCTATAAACGCAAATATGAACATGCCTCTTTCCTGCTTAAAGTCCTTCAATAGCTTATTACTGCTCTTAAGATCAAGTTCAAACTCAACTAACCTACAAGGCTCCTCAAGGTTACTCTGGAGCCTCATCACCAGCCATTCTCCCTTTAGCTAATTAAGCTCTGATTTTTGGGAATTATTTGGTCTTTCTCCTTTCTTGTCTGGGTCTTCATAAATTTTTTTCCCTCTTCCTGGAATATTCTTTCCATATCTCTCTGCTTCCTTTGCCTAATTCATCTTTAGATGCCAATTTGGATTTTATTTACTTTTTCCCCCCACAACTTTCTGGTTATTAGCATAGTCTCAATTGGAATTCATGCCTGTTATTTTCTCTTTTTAAAAATTTATTTTATTTATTTATTTTTGGCTGCATTGGATCTTCGCTGCTGTGCACGGGCTTCCTCTAGTTGCAGCGAGCCAGGGTTACTCTTCCTTGCGTTGCGCAGGATTCTCATTGCAGTGGCTTCTCTTGTTGAGGAGCACAGGCTCTAGGTGCGCAGGCTCAGCAGTTGTGGCATGGCGGGCTCAGTAGTTGTGGCTTGTGGGCTCAGTAGTTGTGGCTCGTGGGCTCTGGAGCATAGGCTCAGTAGTTGTGGCGCACGGGCTTCATTGCTCCATGGCATGTGGGTTCTTCCCGGACCAGGGATCGAACCCGTGTCCCCTGCATTGGCAGGCAGATTCTTAACCACTGCGTCACCAGGGAAGCCCTATTTACAGTTTTGACAATATTTTTCTGACAATGACTCTCCCAAGATTGGGTTTGGTGGCCTCCTGCTGTGCTCTAAAAACACGCACTACTCATTTAATATAGCCATTTTCTTTGTAAATTCTAATTGCCTTGTCTCTCTCTCTCTCATTCACCACAGTGTAAGTTTTTTAATGGCAGGGATTTTGTATACAACTATATCATAGGTGCCTAAAAAAGCCTAAATCTATAGTTTGAATTCAGGTCACTGCCCTTCTTAAAGATGTCTGACAGTTCCTACATGCCTACTGAATAAAGACTCAAGTTCTTAACATGGCATATAAGGCCCTTCTCAAGATGCTACAGCTTATCTTCCAATTTCATTTCCAGGAATTCCTGCTTGCCCTCCCTTCTACTTTCCATTCATATTACCCTGAACGCCTCTGCACAGGTCATTCTGATGCTTCCACACTTTTGCTTATACTTTTCCCACTTTCTGGAATATCATTCCTCTGCTTGTTGTTTTCTTGGAAAACTTTTTCCAAACCACTCTTAGCTCCAGTTCAGGTAGACTTTATAGCTCTCTCTTCTAGGTCAACACAGAACTTTACTCTGTTACAGCCCATATCTTGCTGTATTACAGTTATTTATTTTTAATAATGACTCGCTGGCTAGACAGTGAGCTTCAGGAAGGTACGTATTATACACACTCATTTTTATATGCCTACCACAGTGCCTGGCATCTAGTAGTAGTCAAGTGTTTATCTAATTGGATTAAAACAGAAGTTAATTCTGTTTCAACTACTCTTATCAAGACTCAGGCAGAAGGCAGGTAAGGGAAGAATGGTTCATTCTACAAAATGTAAAAATGAAAATGTATAGGTTTATACATCTTTGCTTAACCCTAGGAAGAATTTGGCTTCCTTCCCAACCCACTGCCTCTTTTTTAAAGTGCCACTTAGAGAGCTTCTGCTAGCTCTTGTAAGTAGATAAACTCTTCTGATTTACTCCCTGACTCCAATCTATCCTTAGTAAGAGAAATAAGAGCATGAGGAAAAAATATAAAATGAGCTAGAAATATTTTATGAGTAACGATCAACTATGAACTTTAAAAGGTAAAGTCAATGGCAGAAGTTCAGAAAGCCTTGCCTTGAATCCCCGTCCTGTGACTTTCTGACTTTGTGCAAACTGCTTACATGCTTTGGTTTTTTCATCTGTGCAATGGTAATGATGATAATACTTACTTTACCCCTAGGTTATTGTGAGGATTAAGAGTTTATACACATGAAATATTTAGAACAAAGCATGGCATACAGTAAGCAGTTACTAAGTGTTGGCTATTATTATTATCTTAAACAGTGATTGTTTAATTAATAACCAAGAGTTATAATATGTTCCTAGATTTTAAGAAAGGGGCCTCAAGACAGAATGTGAGCTCTAAGGCTTTTGAATATTAATATACAGTAGCCAGACAAATAGCATATCCTAAAGGACTTTACATTTCAGACTTAGTACTAGGTTCTAATTATGACTTTTTTTATTCAATTGCTGTACTGTGGAAAATTACTTATAATTTTATTTCTCCATTTTCACATTTATAAAGTACATTGATCTACACTGAAATGATGGTATGTATTAATTAACATGATTATCAAGGACTTTGAAAATATAAAACACTAAAGTGACAAATTAGTTTATAAGTACCTGATGTAATTCATTAACAATATAGCATATAACATTAATTCCCGTAATGCCTTCCAACTGCAGTTCTTAACTCCTAAATTCTTCCTAATTTTCTCAAAGGGTGTTATAAAATTAACTATGGAGTTAAAAAAAATAAACTTCAGAATCTATGTAGCTTTGGGTTAAAAAACTGTCAGATTTAAATGTGGATGCCATAGGGCTTCCCTGGTGGCGCAGTGGTTGAGAGTCCGCCTGCCGATGCAGGGGACACGGGTTCGTACCCCGGTCTGGGAGGATCCCACATGACGCGGAGCGGCTGGGCCCGTGGGCCATGGCTGCCGAGCCTGCGAGTCCGGAGCCTGTGCTCTGCAACGGGAGAGGCCGCAGCAGTGAGAGGCCCGCGTACCGCAAAAAAAAAAAAATGTGGATGCCATAAAATTGAAAAGTGATGTAATTCTAAAATCATTATCATCTTTTGCTAAAATAAATGCGCTTGTTGCAAATTTAAAATACTAACATGTATTTTAAAATCTGATTTTATAAATGTTATATAATGATATTGATAAAAATTCCAGTTTAAAAGCCACAAAGATGATTCTCAAAATATTTTGTTATAGCCTATAATTTTGATAAATGAATAGGTTATGACTTAGCCATAATGTGAAAGTACAGCCAAATCTTGATTATCTTTAGTCTGTGGAGATATGGATGGCTTAGATAGTTAAAATCCATATATCATTCCAAAACCTCATCCATTAGCCTTTTCTCCCACCAAATCTTCACCACAGTTAGCTTAGCTAATTTGCATTTCAGCTACCTTTCTTTCTTACTTGCACAGTGAAATGGTAAAATATATGAATAAAAATTTGACAATAAAGAAAATATTGGAAGGAAGGGCTAATCTACATACAAGATAACCGGTCTCTGAATAATCAAGAGTTGGCTGCACAGCATTATGTTTACCTTAAGGATTAAAATAGCCTCATTCTCCTTCATATATTTCAATAAAATCGAACAGGAGTTCCTATGCCTTAACATTCCTAGTCAGAGTTTCTCTGAGTACCTGAAAGAACCCTGGTGGTACAGGACCTACTGGCATGCCATCTCCTGGGGGAATGTTTCCTAGCACTGGACTGGGAGCTGCTGCAGCACTCTGCAAAGAATAAAGGAGAAACAAACCTATATCATTACAGAGAAGGCACAGAACAAAAGACTGATGATAATAGACTGTAGGAAGGGAAGCTTTTCATTCCTGGGAACAAATATTGGTAATTTCCCCCACTCCAGAGGTAAACTAAGATGTAGCAGTTAGTTTAGGATATGACTAAGTTATTTGGCTTAAACAGGTCTCTTTAAACTTTTTGAAATCACAGAACTTTAATAAGATAGTATATTTGAGTAAAATATAAAAGGCAAATAAAATGATAAAGTGATAGAAGTTTAAGTAAATGCTTTATTTTAAGGCACAGCCTTCTGCAATGGCAACATCAACAACAAATAGATAAATATTTAAGTAACAAGTTTGAAAATGGTGGTTGTAGGAGTTGGAAAAAAGAACTCTGTTTAGATTATGCTTTTCTCTGTCATAAATAAGTATAATTACTTCTCTGTCTATAGGTGGCAACACGCACATTATTCACTTTCTGATATACTATAATTGGTAGCCAAAATATAATTGATAGCAAAAAACAGGGTGGTGAGGATGAAAAAGTAATTAGGAGATTGAATAAGAGAAAGGAACTAGATTTGGAGAGATTAGTCTCAGATAAACAGATTATGAAAAAATCAGATTGAAAAATTCAAAGTCTACTTTACTTGCAAATTATTTCATGGAATCCTATGGCTTCATGAAATAGGAATATGAAAAACTTTGGGATAGGCTCTTTGTAGTCAAGTCAAGGTTTTAGATTTAACTCTTACATAGAGCAGTAATACATACAACTATTTTACAACCATGGATTTCATCCCTCAATCTCGTTAGACACATTACAAATACTAAGAACAGCCAAGAAGGGAGCAGAAATATGCTGAAGACAGATCAGTATGAATTCAACAGTTCTGTTATGAGAAGAACTCAAAACAAATCCTGGATCTAGTGTATTTGTTGTACTTTTCTCACTTGTAGATCAGTTTATTCATTCATGAATTAATATTCCATTAGAAGATATAATATCTCAGTATATTTGTAGCATGTATTTCCCAATATAGAAATTGATAAAAATACTAAAACATGTTTATTCTATAGTAGTGGAAGTTATTATCACTGAAAGCCAATGATTTTAGTATTTCCTGAGGAAACCTAGATTTAAATGTGGTTATCTAAAATGTTGGTTACCTATGAATGCCAACATTCTAAACTTCTGATAAAGCACAGAAGTATAAAAGGAGAAATAATATTTCTTAGATATTAAGATGAAACATCAATCTATCATCCCATTTTAAGCAAAAACATGCAATTTCATTCAGTGTACATTAATTGAATACCTACCATTTGTCAGATAGTTCTATTTTGCGTTATAATATCAACACTCACGTTTTTAAAAAAATGAAAGGCAAACTGTTTTTCATTTTAATTAAACTTGCATAAAATTTAATACACAACGTTAGAGTAAGAGAAAAAGTTACCACCAAACATTTATCTTCTTTTAGTTTAAATATATATGGTTACAGGCAGATCTAGGAAGAAAGATTTGATCTACATCCTTTGACAGTCAATTATTTTAATGGGGAAGTTGCTCTTAGTACTGAAAGCTAGACATAGGATGTCACTATTGTTCTAATTAATTGCAGAACAGAAACTTGTTTTTGCAATAAAAAAGACTTACATAAAAAGAGAGACAAGTTTGTAAAACACAGTCACCTATGCTTTTATAGAAATGTATACTACAATGTTGAGCAGGTTTACAAAAACAAAGCAGAATTCAGTGAATTGCTGCACCTCCTTAGTGTTGTTCAAAGATGCTATTTCTCCTGCAATTCTTGTTGCCTGGCAAGTATAGCTACATAATTTCTAGTATAGAGCACGATGCTTTAGTTTTCTGGTGTAACAGCAATTTCTAGGCTTGGCCTAAGGACACAAATTGAAGTGAACAGAATACTAGTAATTATCCAGTTTATTTACCCAATACAAAGCACTGGTATAGAGCACTGCAGTCCAAACTTCACTTTGTGGATCACATTTTTGAGCTAAATTATCCATCCATTCTTCTGGGATTTATTGACAAGGGATAATTCCCTCCTTTATTGTACTGTGTGGACTCAAGCTTAGAGTACCATTTGGTACACCATGTTGATCAATAACAAATACTAGTCTGATAATAAACACTGAAGAGTTACACTAAATGGTACTCTAAGTTTTGTAAAAGAATATATTTCTCAAACTGCCTAACTTGCTCATTTATATACGGTAGCAATAATAAATAATACATGCTTTGAAACTGTAAGCTAAATAAGAATCAAGTTTTGGGGATTAGAGCTTAACGTAGATGGGAGAAGTACCACATTTTCTGGGTTTCATTGCTGGAATTTCTGAGACTTGTCTCAAGTTTACTTCCAACTCATGAGAAAAATTTATCTCATGACTTGAGGATCCACAGAAAGTTGTTGCTGGCTCTAAATCATAAAGTATGTATAATATTATTCTGGGGGTTTGTGACCGAATTAAAAAAGGAGAGCAGATAATTTAATTATACTAAAAACTACTGCAAAACATTAGTTTTGCTGGATTTGTGTGAATTCCCATTAGAATACCATGGAAAATCCTTTATATATAATATATGCACAATTATTTAGGGTTGACTTTTTATATTCTCTCTCTTGTAAAAAAGAAAGACATATAAATAATATGGCTGTAAAATACTTCTAACTAAACTGAATACATAAGACTTTGGAGCAATGTAAAAATATTAATTAGCATTAAAAGTATTTTTTCTTTTTACTAGTTTACTTTGTATGCTTTTAACATATACTTTCACATATGTATTTTCTAACTGCTCTTTCAAATCATTTACTTTGTCAAGTGACTTGAATTTCAAGGTTTTTTGGAAGTGAAAACTTTACTTTTAAAATATTTTCCCAAATCACTAATATAATTTTTACCTGCTTTTTATAAATACAATATATTAAATTTGGTGTTTTCAAATGAACTAAATTATGGAACAATTATTTGCTTTTCCAGGGATATATTAAAATGAACTTTAAAGAGTCACCAGGAAATCTTTCTTCATGTTGCTATATATTTATCTTTGTTTAAGTCTCCTCTCTTGGACTTTCTGTTTTTATATCTTTCTACCTATAAGAAGGCACAAGTCAATCTGTGCCCCTTCCTCTCTGTGTTATTTATTTTCCCTTGTATATATGTCCAGCACCATTTCCCATTTTGCCCCTTCTGTTAAATGCTATTATATAATTGAATTTTAATAATAACTTTTATTCTCTAATTCCCTATTTCTGAATTTAAAGAACAGAGATGTATACTGTTATTTTATATTTTCCTTCTTAAATAAAAATCTGAAATAAAAGCTAGAAGAGTTCTTATTTTGACCTTAGTTATTATCACTAGTGGCCTCTGGTAGAAAAAAAAAGTTGTATATACTTCTGTAAGGAGGTTTCAAAACAATAGGCATAAAATAAAATTTTGCTTAAAAGTAAAATTAAGATGCAATTGATTAAAACATAATTAGCGTTTATCAAGATTCTACATATTAAATAACTAACAGTTTTAGTTACTAAGGATGGTACAGAACCAGCTGCCTAACTATACACTGGGGAATCAAGATATAAAGTCTACATTTGGTGGAAAAGGAAAAAATACCTTAAGTATATGTAAAATTGTGAAGGTAATAACAGAGGAGCTAAAATAGTGATATACTTATTAGAAATTGGAAGGAGGATTAAAGGTAAGAGTAGGTAGGAAGAGACCAGGCAGAGAATTATTTGTCTTTACTATTAACACACTTATACTATTTTTAAGTCAGATATAAGTATTTTTTGAGAAACATTTAAAATGGTCATAAAGTAGACTCCCTTATCTGTGGAGATAGATTCCAAGACCTCTAATGGATGCATGAAACTGCAATAGTACTGAACTCTATATATATTGTTTTTTCCTATACATACATAACTATGATAAAGTTTAATTTATAAATTAGGTACAGTAAGAGATTAATAATAACTAATAATAAAATAGAACGATTATAACAATATACTGTGATAAAAGTTATGTGAATGTGGTCTCTCTCCTTAATCAACTTCCTCACCTCTGCCAGAAATGCGGCAGCAGCTTCTTCAGCAGCCTTTCTAGTAATTTTTATATTTTCTGATCTACACCTATTCCTGCATCTGTGTAACCATCCCTTACTAGCAGTAAATGGCTTGGTGTCACTTGTTTCAGAGGATCTCTTGCTGAAGTCTCTGTAGAGGCTCGATATGCTTTCTGGCCCAACACGATGCTGTCAATCAGAACACGTTTTCTGTTCATGTCTCCCACCCACAAATTTTAATGCCTTTCCTACCTTAACTAGTGCTTAGCATGCACTGTGGGCATGACTTTTGCAGTCTGAGGTGTGAAAACTAGCACAGATTTCTTTTTCCTTTGTCACAATTTCACGGATAGAAGACTCCTTCTTACCATAGATCTTAGCAACCTCAGCATGATTGCTTTTCTTTCATTATTAAGTTGAGAACTTTCGCCTTTTCACTTAAAGGAAGCCCTTTTCAGCTTCTCTTTGCCATATCTGAATTGCCTGCATCACTACTGTTGTGCTTTGGGGCCATTGTTAAGTAAAATAAGGGTGACTTGAATACAAGCACTGTGATACCACTACACTGTATCTGATAACCCAGACGGCTGCTAAGTGACTAATGGGCGGGTCAAGCTGGACAAAGGGATGATTCACGTCCCAGGCAGGATGTAGCAGGACATAGTGAGACTTCATCATGCGACTCGGAATGGTCCACATTTTAAAACTTATGAATTGTTTATTTCTGGCATCTTCCATTTAATTTTTTTCAAAACTTGGTTGACTGTAACTAAAACTGCAGAAATCAAAACCGTGGTTAATCAGGGCCCTGTAGTAGGTTTCCTGTCTTCACAATTTTAATGCAGGGCACAGTTAAATATTTTAGCTGTTGGTTGAAGACATGTTCTTTATT